CTATACAGCTACAAGCTAAAGCATAAAAGTGTGTGACATCAAATAAGCTTTACTTGGTATGGACTCATTTTATAGTTACTTTCATAATCCTTCATTAAGGATCAACTGTGGTTCAGACCCTTTTTTTTGGTCTGGTATCAGTTACTATAAAAACAACTTTTTATTCAGGAAAATATTTAAAAATCGTTGCACCAATTGCTCCTCTGGTGCCCCAAAAAACTTGGAATGACGAGTGAAAAAATCTTCATCTTTGAGTTCATCACGTGTATTTTTAGGGTAGTCACCCAAAGGGATCCTCTGAGTCTGTCGGCACAGAGCAGACAGCCTTCTGATGTCTACACTGGCGAGGCCTTTAATCTCTCTTCCAGAGCAGACACAAATAGAATAAGAACAATGCAGTAGATTAGGCATTTTATTTACATTTGTTTGTGTGTGACCACGGGGCTCAGTTGCTCCCGCAGACCGAAGATGCCTCAGTGACAGAAATATGGGTGTGTACGCTGAGGGCCTCATCCAGCATCAGTCAGCCAGCCTGCAGCTCGCTAATCTGCCTGCAGCAGACTGCAGGTCCAGCACGCCGGAGCACATGCTCTGCTCCATGTCTGTTTATGGTGTTTTATGAGCTCTGTGTGCTCCCTCCAAACATAATTCATGCGTATGGCTAGTAGTGGTCAGCAGTGTTTTATAAAATGTGAGACATGCGTCTGAGTTTTTAGGGTTTTCAGGAGTCCCATAATGTCCCAGTTGTTGTGCACTATAAGTCAAAAGAAAGAAAAGAAAAGAAAAAGAAAAAGAGTCACAAACAAACAAAAGCCAGATTGATAGATGATAATCAGCATTTTCAAGCCATGGACCTAAAAGATTACAGTGCCTTGTTAAAATGAATTGCAGCCCCTCTCCCAATCAATGGCAAGGCAAGGGAATTTTATTTTTAGAGCACAGTTGGTGTACAAAACTTTGAAAAGTGCTTTACATAAAAGAATGGTAGGCAAGTAACTGAAGGTAGGAAAGCATACTGAATTATAAATATGAATCAAAATAGATTAGAATTCAAGAGGACATTTATTGTAAATGATCTTGCTCAACATTTTTGTAACCTGACTATTTTGCTGAGTAACCATTCCAAGTTGGATGGATGGATGGATGGATGGATGGATGGATGGATGGATGGATGG